GCAGGCGGGAGATGTGATGTAGTCCAGTCATGGAGACAGGGCTCTACGGGTGGTTGCCAGGAGACAGGCAGAGCGGGATATATTGCCTCTTAAGTGATAAACAGGCTGAGAGGAGCCATCTTTGCGTTGTGTGCCATAAGTGAAGGATATGGCTTGATATGAAAGATTTAAAAGCCTAGATATGTAACAGCCAGATTCTTATTTCGAACACTGCCAATATGCGCATTTGTGTCTCTTGGGAAATGCCATGATAGGTTTTGTGTTATCATCAGTGCCACGATAATCTAGCTATTTTATTTCTTGAATGTTTCTATATACTAGTCTGTCCAGAATTGTTCCTCTATTGCAAGTTTTTATTTGTACCATTTGGTGTCCATTGCCAACTGCAGCTGATATTTAGTGCATGCAAACTGATTTAACAAACAAAATGGTTATATTGACGGTACAACATTATATTCTAACCAAATGCAATGCAATAAAGCAACAAGCAGCAAAAAAACATTTATTCTAAGAAAATAAGAGTTTTTGTCAATCACTTAGTTTCTGTTTCTGTTATGTTGAGCTGGTTAGCCCCGCCCATGGTGAAATCTCATTGGTCCAAAATCATACTTCACAATGACTGATTATCTATAAATGTGTCATGTCACATAAGCATTTTTGCTTTCAGTATGGACAGTCAGATTTGCTATAAACGTTGAGTCAGAGCTGGTTAGGACAGGCAGACCTCAGCTATGTGCTACTACACAGTGTTAATGTGAGTTCATTTACTATTACCATGCCATTATATTAAGTTACTGTACATCTCGTCACTTGATGCCAGATCACCACCAAAAGGTGTTTGTTCCTGCTTGTGCGGTTTGTGTCATGATCTCTTTTTTTTATTACTGCTCTTTTCCTGTATTATATTCAAATGCTGCATTGCAACAAACAACATAATATTCACATCTTTAAAGGCATGCATTCATTTTTACCACACTGCAGCAATGAAGAAAAGAAAGGAAAATGTATAAAAAAAATAAAAAATTCTGTCCCCACAACAAACACTGTATTACAGCAGTTACAGCACTTTGTCAGAAGGATTATTTTGTTGAATTATTTCAGACACAAACAGCCTCTTTTATTACAGTTTACCCTATGAAAAAACTAGCAGCATTTTTCAGCTTTATGCAATGCACAGTCTGGCTCTTACCACAGCATATGACAAAAGTTTTTGTAGAGAAAATACTCACTGACAGTCTAGGAGTCTTGCTAATGAGTATCATCTAGGTTGTATTCCTTTGTACTGTATGTATTTGTCTTCCTTGCCCAGGTTTGCCAGCCATGGGGAACCTCATTAAGGTCCTTGGCAAGGATTTAGAGAACTGTCCTCATTTTTTCCTGGATTTTGAAAGTAAGTTTTTCGCTGGTGTACGGTGTGTGTATGTGTGCTCGGATGTGTGTATGTGTGTGTGATTGGAGATGGAGCTATCAGGGTTGGAGCAGGTGTAGACGCATCCTCTATGTGGATTAAGACAGACTGAAGTTTTTTTTTGCTTTTGGAAACTGTTTCTTTTTGCTCTCTTCACGATTGTGTTCACTCGTTTCCATTTATGTATAGAAAGAGAGCAGCAAGAAGGAGTTTCAGTGTGACCATGTGACCATATCAACATCGCCCGAGAATCTCGAACACCTAAAGTCCATCCCACACCCTATACGCCCCGACCCCCCATCCCAGACTCCACGCACATTCACACGAACACACACCCAACACCAGACACATGTCTGCCACATCTCCCATGACCCACATGCTTCTCCCTTCTCTCTGTTCCAGGGGGATCATGGGAAATCTCCTGAAACTGCTGGCTTGCACCGAACTTGAGCATGGCCCAATAGTTTTCCTTGACTTTGAACGTGAGACCATCAGCTTATGTTTTGAGTTTGCTTTTCTTTCCCGTTTGATCATGGTTCCTCCTCATTCGCTGTCCTCTATATTTTCACTTCCTTTTCTCCGCCATCCCTCTGTTTGTGCATCAATGCCTGGCATTCAAGTGTTTTTCGGTGACCTCAATTTGTGACGTGACTTTTTTTGCGCTCCTCTCCAGGTTGGCTGTGATCCGCTGAACTAAAGATTGTCGTACGAATGCCATGCTTTTTTTTTTTTAGCAGTTAGAGCGGGATGGAAAGCATAATCACATAACACTTAACTTATCTCCTCTTTTTCACCTAAACCTTTGCAGACTTATAAAGTGCGTTGGCTCCATAATCTGTTCCTGTGTGTCCTGTGCATCTGGATGTGTGTGTGTGTGTGTGTGTGTGTGTGTTGCGTGTGTGAATGCATTATTAACCAGTCTGAGGATTTAAGGAAGTGGGAATGGAAGCTGCCTATTGAAAAGGGAGCCTCAATTTCCTTTTTCTCTGATGTCGTGTTCCCTTTTAACCCTTACCTAAGCACTTCTCTCCCTCCTGAGTAATCCTTCCTTTTATGACACCTCTAACAGCTACATGCCTAGCATCTCCTTTTTATGGAGGAAATAAAACTCCTGTCCCTCAAGTGTGAGAACCCGGAAGACTTAGAGTGGTTGTTGTCCAGTCTATAACATAAAATGTAGGCTGTCCTTGCTCTAAGAATATAATTGGTTGGAGACATTCTTGAAGTGACACAAGACACAGTGTAATGCATTTGTCTGTAATACATTATAGGACCAATGACATCATTTTCTTTCAAATATATTGATCTGAATACACCTCTTGTATGATGGACATCTGTTCTATTTCCAAATGTTGATTTTTTAATGTAAAAAAATGTCTCTAAAATAAAAAAAGTTAAATAATAATGATAATCTTTATTATTTCTTTAAAATTATTTTATATTATTAATAAAATATATTATAATTGGTGTAAACAACATGTTACCAAGACAAGACAAGAAAACCATTAAAAAAAAGAAATAATAATCACAGCGATGACCCATGTAGACTTGTACAACATTTAAGTTTCTTAAAAATATCAGATAATTTGACAAGGCAGAAAGTTTGGTTGTCAAAAGTCAAACTGCTAAAACGTAATTGTATTCAAGAAACACTCTCAAAAAATATATATAATAATAATGCTATATAAAAAGATCTGTTACTTTAAAAAATTTTTGAAAATTATAATTATTACTTGCATGCATTTAAGGTGTAAGGAAAATATGTAAAATACTTTTCTTGATGGTTATATCACATGATTTAAGTAATGTTATAGTAATTTTAAGTAACACACACACACATATATATATATATATATATATATATATATATATATACTGTATATATACATATATATATATATATATGTTTTAAGATGTCGTCTTGACAATTCTTGTCATTGACCCTATAGCAGAATTTGCATAATACAAAGTAGTAATATCAGAATGTTGAATACAAGCAAAAAAAAAGGACAACAGCCACTCTCCCGATCTGTACTTTGTGATTTTGTGACAGCGAAACAATGATCACCTGTGTTACACCGCACTGGTCTACATTTCCTCAGTTCTGAAATGGGGTTAGTGTGCCACTAATGGCATTCATAAAAATTCAATATCTCAAATACAAGACACATTGGCATAGAAACAAGCTTTGAGGCTCTGCTACATGTGATTAACCAAAAGGGGTGTGTGGTGCACAATAAAAGTGTGCAAAAGGGAAAGGAAACATTATATTGCTACTGTAGCATTGACGCCTGTCTTCAGACTCTGTTCTTTGAAGATCACAGGCAGGATGAGCAAACAGACCTGGAGGTGACATGACTGGGAGGAGCCACTGGCAATTACACTGAAGTGTAGAGTGTGTGTTTGTTTGTACTGAAACATGTTTGCTCAGCTGATAGCACAAACAGCTATGTGTGTATTCAGTCAAACACTGACAGAGAAAATGCATCAAGGACCTCTGATAGGGTTAACTGCTTCTATATACATTACATACATTACATACATACATACATTACATTACAGCCCCTCTGTTTGGATGCAGGATAAAGAAGTTTGCTTGTAAATCAGGCCTGCTTCACAGATCACTTACATACAGAGGCTTGAGAAATCTGGTCTAGCAATTATGTCCCAAAATTCCTCCTGCTGCAGTTTTTAAACTGTGTACACCATACACAGTGTAAAAACAGAGGTTATCAATTGGCATCTATGGTTGCATGAAGAACCTTTAACATACATGATTAGGAACAAAATCTGCTTAGGAAACATTTTGCCTTTAGATGAAATTCACGATCAAGTAGATTCCAATTGAAATGGCTAGATTTCGCCCACAAAAATTGTGAGCACACCTTAAAGGAATAGTTTACCTAAAAAGTTCAAATTTGCTGAAAATGTACTCAGACCATCCAAGATGTAGAAGAGTTCATTTCTTCATCAGAACAGATTTGGAGAAATGTAGCATTCCATCACTTGCTCACCATTGGATCCGCTGCAGTGAATGGGTGCCGTCAGAATGAGAGTCCAAACAGCTGATAAAAACATCACAAAAATCCACAAGTAATCCATACCATCAATTAACATTTTGTGAAGGGAAAAGCAGCGTTTGTAAGACACAAATCCATTATTAAGATGTTTAATGTTTAATAATCCACAATAACCTTCATTCAGGGAAAAAGCCTCAATAAAAAAAAAAAATTTACAGGAGAAAGCAACGTTATGAATAAAATCCATCTTAATGATGGATTTATTTCTTACAAACACACAGCTTTTCACTTCATAAGACGTTAATTGATGGACTGGAGTTGTGTGGATTACTTGTGGATTATTGTTATGTTTTTATTAGCTGTTTGGACTCATGTTTGTATGTATTATCATGAATATCATGTGGTTAACTAAACTAAACTAAAAGCTAAATAGAAACGCCCACCAGAGGATGATATTCTGTTTGCTTTCCTGCCTGCTATCATCAGCTTATTAATCAAATGCCTGACGCTTGCTGAAGCTGACACAACTCTTTAAACCCATCCCAGCCTTGCCAGCAACTCCATATGGAGCTGCTTCATTGGCCATGGCCTTTCATTGACATTTCCCACCAGAGCTGTTAATATCAGCCCTAACAAATCCTGACACACACCGACACAACCCAAATCCTCCTCATGCACTTCCGACTCACAATAACACCATCATCATTACCAGATTAATCCATATGGATTTATGGTTCCTATCTTTCAAAGCTCGTTGGAAAGCGCTTTCCCCCTCCGGGTGCCAAAAGATGATGATAATCCAATGTTAGCACCAAATTAACTCACACCATGAAGCTTTCTTGTAATTATTGGTCCAGTTATCAGATTTAACACTGACTTGACTGGTTAAACGCAATCCATGTTATCCAAAACAAAACCCATCAGGACAAGAAGAAATTATTTCAGTGTGATAGTGTGACAAAGGTGATCCATAACTCAGGTTGGCCGAGGAATTGGAAGAGGACTGTGCATATTTGGAGCATTTTTGTATATCTGTCACATTCTGACCGACTCGATCTGACTTCTGCCCACAGATGCTCAGCCCACAGAGGCAGAGACAGCCGTGTGGAACCAGGTTAGTGCCGTGCTGGAAGAGGCCCATGGGATACTGGCAGAGTTACAGTCTTACAATGGAGCAGGACAAGAAATAAGAGAGGTGGGGCTATTTTTGCATTTATTAGTCGTGCTTACCTTTGCAAAACCTGCTGCTACAATGCTAGATTGCTCTGGGTGGTTGCTAGGGTGTTTTAGGCTGTTGCTAGGGTGTTCTGAGTGGTTGCTTACTCATCCAAGTCAAAATATTGTAAATTTTTTTGACTGTTTTATCATCTCCCAGGATAATATTGAAAGCCTGATTAGAAAATAAACAGAACATGTCTTATCTAAAAGCTGCATGTTTTGAGATATCATGCATGTATAGCACAATTGTTGTGGGCAGTGCAAATCACTAATGAAAAATTTGATAAATTGACAAAATGAAAGTCTTTTGTTCACAAAGGCTGAATTTCAAAAATCAAAAATACAGTAAAATTGAAATATCGATATGAAATAACTGTTTTCGATTTTAATATAGCCTACACTATCATTCAAGATTTTTAAAAATGTTTTTAAATGAAGTCTCTGATGCTCACAAAGGCTGCATTTATATGATCCAAAATACAGCGAAAACATTAATATTGTGAAATATTTTTACAGTTTAAAACAGCTGTTTTCTATTTGAATATATTTAAAAATGGAATTTATTCCTGTGATGCAAAGCTAAATTTTCAGCATCATTACTCTAGTCTTTAGTGTCACATGATCCTTCGGAAATCATTCTAATGATGAACATTTCTTATTATTATCAATGTTGAATAAAGTTGTGCTCCTTTATATTTCTGTGGAAACTGTGATACATTGTTTCTTTGTTTCTACACAAGATTCTTTCTCAATCAATATAAAGATAAAAAGGAACAGCATATATTTGAGATAGAAATCATTTGTAACATTATAGGCTAAATGTCTTTTTCACCTTTGACCAACTTAATGCATCCTCACTGAATAAAAGTATTAATTTCTTTAATTAAAAGACATTCATTCCTTTAAAACTGCATTAACACTGCATATGAAACATCTCTGTAATACTTAATTGAATAATGCCATTGAGTGATCATATGTTTTTGTATAATGACTGTTAAAGTGGATATTTCACCATCATACATGACGATACACTGATGCTACTTTCATGCATGACGAGCATAAAATCTTTGATAGATGACTAGAAGCTCAGAAGTATCCAGTTAAAGCAAGAAAACCAAACACTCTAGCTAAAAACTAATCCAAAGTAACTTTTTTAAATTAAATCAAAAGATGAAAAAGAACAGCATTTATTTGAAATAGAAGTCATTTGTAACATTATAAATGTCTTTACTTTCACCTTTGACCAATTTAATGCATTCTTGCTGAATAAAAGTATTAATTTATTTCAAATATGTATGTAACGGTAGTGTTTTTCACCCATTTTTTAAAATTTAGTAAAACAAAGAGTTGTTTTGTCTGGGTTACAAAACCCTAACTAGAGTAATAGTGTTGCTTACCATAGAAAGATCCACTGATATTTACTCATCCTGAGCCAGGAGTCAATTCACCTGTTATAAAGCACCTAGGCATTATAAAGCATAAGTTTTGTGCAGTTTTCAATCATTCTGGTCCATAAACAGCAAATGTGCAGTAGCTATTCAGCTGTGAATGTTTCGCATTGCCAACATTATAAATGTCTTTACTTTCACCTTTGACCAATTTAATGCATTCTTGCTGAATAAAAGTATTAATTTATTTCAAATATGTATGTAACGGTAGTGTTTTTCACCCATTTTTTAAAATTTAGTAAAAAAGAGTTGTTTTGTCTGGGTTACAAAACCCTAACTAGAGTAATAGTGTTGCTTACCATAGAAAGATCCACTGATATTTACTCATCCTGAGCCAGGAGTCAATTAACCTGTTATAAAGCACCTAGGCATTATAAAGCATAAGTTTTGTGCAGTTTTCAGTTATTCTGGTCCATATACAGCAAATGTGCAGTAGCTATTCAGCTGTGAATGTTTCGCATTGCTGAATAAATCGCACAATGCAACTTCATTTAAGGCTACAGATGACCTTGAGTTTATAGTCAGTGTAAATGAAGGTTGTGGTTTCAGTTGTTCTCGCTCGTCCTTCTCTCCAGGCGATCCAGAACCCCAATGACCTCCAGCTGCAGGAGAAAGCCTGGAATGCAGTCTGCCCCCTAGTGGCCAAGCTCAAGAGATTCTACGAATTTTCTCTCAGGCTAGGTAAGTGGGTGGCCATTGTTTTCCAATTGTCTTCTTTTATAGTCATGTAATGGGCCTTGCGTGCTCGAGTCGTCCAACGCACTGACCGTGCGTACAACGAGTGCTGCAAGCATCCGTTTCTGTCCTCCTCTGCAGCTGACCTCGTAAAGAGTTGGCATGGCAACCGCGGCAGCAGAGCATAGAGGAGGCTGCGTTTCTGCCTCCCATGCACGCTGACAATTCAGTATACGGTTTACAATCGTCGATCAGCTGCCTCTTTTTTCACAGCAGTGCTGACTAGTGAAAAGACGTAGTAGAGGAGGCTGCGTTTCTGCCTCCCATGCACGCTGACAATTCAGTATACGGTTTGCAATCGTCGATCAGCTGCCTCTTTTTTCACAGCAGTGCTGACTAGTGAAAAGACGTAGATCTCTGGCCAGACAGATAACATGCAGATAAGCTTTTTCCTGCCAAGGTATGGCATCGCAGTGACTCATGAGAAAAAGAGGCCCCACCCTCCTCAACACATCCTGCTATCCGCAATATCTGGTCCCCGGCTGATAGAGTCAGGTTTCTCGGTAGGCCTCCAGATAAAACATATCAGCTTCTTATTTATAGTAGGGCTGCTGCATATTTGATGAGAGGAAAGAATAGCTCCTCTGGAGACATGCTTAGGCATACTAATGCCATTCAGATATGGCTTAGCTCTGACGGTGAAGCTGTACAGTACGTCTTCTAGTCGCCAAACAGGAAACAGCTTTAAACAGTACAGCACAGACCTGCAGCATGGATTCACTCTGATAACATTAATGCAGTGATAATATTAATGTAACTGCATTAGCACTGCTTATGAAATGTCTCTCTGGAATACTTGATTCAATGCCATCGAGTGGTTATATATTTTTTTGTATAAGGATGATTAAACTGGATATTTCACTGTCAAACATGACAATATCCTGATGCTGCTTTCATAGCTGTCATATATTGTAATATAGCCTAGGAGAATGTCAATATTTACTGCAATCATTGATAGATGACTAGAATCTCAGAAATATCCAGTTAAAGCAAACACTGAAACTAAACCATAGAAAAAGGATAACTGGGATAACGTACAGCCAGCTAGTCATTTTATTCCCTATTAATACATTGGTTTGGAGTTCGGTTATTAAATGAGTTTTAAAAGCAGCCAGAAACATGGTCGTGTACTGCAGTTGGAAGTCATTAATGCTTGAATCAGCTGCGGCTTCCAACGTTCTCTAGTTTCCAGGCAACACTGACGGGATCCCAGGTTCTTATGGCTAATGATAAATTGCAGCAATTACAAAAATACAAAAGAGAGGCGTTAGAGGCAAATACAATGGTAACTGTTGTGCTGGTAACCATGGAGATCAAATACACATATTGCAGTGCAGTTTTGATACATTATGCAGGTATGCCATGTGGATTACAAATCAGATTAAAGGCCGGGGTGTGGGAGGAAAACAGATGATAAAAGGCTTCGAAAATCTTGAGGGACGACAACAGCATTCACTGTGAAAGACAAATTGCTACAGAGAAATGACTTTAAACTGTAAGGGACAATAAAATCTGTAATCAATATGTGTTTGCAGAGAACGCCCTGCGCAGTCTTTTGGAGGCCCTCACTAGCCCACCTTACGCTCCCATGCAGCATCTGGAGAGAGAGCAGGCCCTCGCCAAACAGTTTGCAGAGATCCTACACTTCACTCTCAGCTTTGATGAGCTCAAGGTGAGCATTTCTCACACATTACTCACTTTGATTTCATGTGGCATGAGCTCAGCTAAAATATTTAGAACTGCACTCAGTCAAGCTTCTCACATTGAAGTTGTTAGAGTCACGTCGAGTAAAATTTCTAAATGGCAACACTGTTAGCTGGTCTCTGTCTAAAGTGCACCCTTGAGAACGGACATCTGGGAAATAAATCTTCACAGTGAGAGGTGTGATTTGTCTCAAAATTTCTCTCACCACTTGAAGTCGGTGGTCTCCATAATAATCTATACTGAAGGCGCTTTTGACATTTCTAAATCCTGTCTTTACTAGATGACAAATCCAGCCATACAAAATGACTTTAGTTACTATAGGAGGACCATCAGCAGGAATCGGCTGAACAACCAGCAGGTAAGTTCACAATCTGCTGAAATTGATACATAATTTGGTGTCGAAAACATTTTTTACTCAGAAAATGCTAGCAAGTTTCACAAACAGTTCAAAGAAATGGCAAGTCAACACACTGAATTAAACATGAAATTCTGAAGTAGAAAATCTGAAATAGTATTTCTTGTTTAGGAGCATTCACTCGGACGAAAGAAGCCATTCATTTTCATTTAAAGTTGGCTACTTCATTTGAATGACAAAGCTTGTTAAGAATGTGACAAAGTTCAAATGCAGACAGTGAAGCTCATGTGATCTGCCTCATGATGACGCAGTTTTATAGTGTAATGCATGTATTAGCAACCAACAGTCTGAGCTATTCATTGTTAGTGTGCATGCCCCTAAAAGTAAACGCATCAAAGTCATTATAATTGACTGAGCAGAGAATGCATTTGTATGGGAAGGTTAATGTGTTACTTAAGAAAAAGCTTAATCATCTGGCAACCAATATTTTACATTTGCATTACAGTTAGAAGCTGAGAATGAAGTGAATAATGAAATGGCCAATCGGATGTCGCTCTTCTATGCCGAAGCCACACCCATGCTCAAAACTCTGAGCAATGCCACGACTAAGTTTGTGTCGGAGGTAATTCATGATTTCACCCAATCTTCTGCAAATGTGGGATAGTTCGAAAATACTTATCATGTTGTTCCAAACCTGTGAGTTGCTTTCTTCTGTTGAACACAAAAGAAGATATTTTAAAGAATATTGCTAACCAAACAGTTGATGGTAGCCATTGACTTCCATAGTATTTTTTCCATACTAAAAGAAGTCAATGGTAAATGACGACAGAATTTTCATTTTTGGGTGAACTATCCCTTTAATGAAGAGTAGCCTACATATAACCAAACATTTGACTTCCTATGAATTGGAGAAAACAGAAATGTTGTCACCCTCTAGAGGCTCATACCGGTGTTAATTTCTATGCATGTTGCAGAACAAGACTTTGCCAATTGAGGACACCACAGATTGCCTGAGCACTATGGCCTGCGTGTGCCGTGTCATGCTGGAGACTCCGTATTTTGACATTTCTAAATCCTGTCTTTACTAGATGACAAATCCAGCCATACAAAATGACTTTAGTTACTATAGGAGGACCATCAGCAGGAATCGGCTGAACAACCAGCAGGTAAGTTCACAATCTGCTGAAATTGATACATAATTTGGTGTCGAAAACATTTTTTACTCAGAAAATGCTAGCAAGTTTCACAAACAGTTCAAAGAAATGGCAAGTCAACACACTGAATTAAACATGAAATTCTGAAGTAGAAAATCTGAAATAGTATTTCTTGTTTAGGAGCATTCACTCGGACGAAAGAAGCCATTCATTTTCATTTAAAGTTGGCTACTTCATTTGAATGACAAAGCTTGTTAAGAATGTGACAAAGTTCAAATGCAGACAGTGAAGCTCATGTGATCTGCCTCATGATGTTCAGATCAGTTTTATAGTGTAATGCATGTATTAGCAACCAACAGTCTGAGCTATTCATTGTTAGTGTGCATGCCCCTAAAAGTAAACGCATCAAAGTCATTATAATTGACTGAGCAGAGAATGCATTTGTATGGGAAGGTTAATGTGTTACTTAAGAAAAAGCTTAATCATCTGGCAACCAATATTTTACATTTGCATTACAGTTAGAAGCTGAGAATGAAGTGAATAATGAAATGGCCAATCGGATGTCGCTCTTCTATGCCGAAGCCACACCCATGCTCAAAACTCTGAGCAATGCCACGACTAAGTTTGTGTCGGAGGTAATTCATGATTTCACCCAATCTTCTGCAAATGTGGGATAGTTCGAAAATACTTATCATGTTGTTCCAAACCTGTGAGTTGCTTTCTTCTGTTGAACACAAAAGAAGATATTTTAAAGAATATTGCTAACCAAACAGTTGATGGTAGCCATTGACTTCCATAGTATTTTTTCCATACTAAAAGAAGTCAATGGTAAATGACGACAGAATTTTCATTTTTGGGTGAACTATCCCTTTATTGAAGAGTAGCCTACATATAACCAAACATTTGACTTCCTATGAATTGGAGAAAACAGAAATGTTGTCACCCTCTAGAGGCTCATACCGGTGTTAATTTCTATGCATGTTGCAGAACAAGACTTTGCCAATTGAGGACACCACAGATTGCCTGAGCACTATGGCCTGCGTGTGCCGTGTCATGCTGGAGACTCCGTAAGTTCATCTGATTCAACATCTTTTCAATAAAACATTGTGATTATTTGAACATTTATTAATGTCAATTATCCAGAATACATTCAATTTTGCTTAAAGTGATCACTATTTCCTGTCCAAAGGGAGTACCGGTGCCGTTTTACTAACACAGACACCATGCTGTTCTGCATGCGTGTGATGGTGGGCGTCATCATCCTTTATGACCATGTTCATCCAGTGGGTGCCTTTGCCAAGACCTCCAAGATTGATGTAAGAACACTTTATTAGTTTCAGGTACACTGGACCCAAAAAGTATTTGGACACTTACATGAATGTCATTGGATTATAACAAAATATCAAATTCAGTGTCATTTATTTTTAGCAAAATATTTCACATTATATAGTCACATCGTACTGTTTAAAAAAAGATATCTAGACACTTTTTGGATGTCAGATGTTAGTGGATCACATTCACAGTTAATGTGATGAACTGTGAGAATTTGGAAGAAATTATGTCATATATTCACTTAAAATCACCATGAGACTAGTTGGTTTATAGTCAAACTTATAGGCAAAACTGGTTTGTAAAAGTGATGCCTAGTATAATTAGTTTGCACATACTTTTTATCTGATAATGTCTAATGCAGTGAAATTAATACATTTAAATGTGGCTAAATTGTCTACAGGCAAACGCAACTGCCCCATGTTTTTGTGAATATTATATAACCGAACTGCTTTCTTAAAGGCACAGTTCACCCTGAAATAATTTAATTGACTCACCCTCATGTTGTTCCAAACCTGTATGACCTGCAGAAATAAACGTTAGACAGATTATCCACTCTTTTCCATATAATGAAAGTGAATGGGGACTGCTTAAAATAGGTTCACCTTTACCAAAAATGATTCTGAAGAATGGCCATAGTTTCATTATAGCTTTTGTGTGTTATAGTAAAAAAAGTTTAGAATAAATAAGATTTTTTTTTTAAATGTTTTTAAACAAGTCTCTTATGCTCACTAAGACTGCATATATTTGCTCAAGGTGGCATTTATCTGATTACTGTAATATTATGTAATAACAGTTAAACAAAATGGTAATATTGTGAAAATATTATTACAATTTTATTCATGCAATGGTAAAGCTGAATTTTCAGCATCATTATTTCAGCCTTCAGTGTTACATGACCCTTCAGAAATATTCTGATATGCTGATTTCAATGTGGAAAATGTTTTATTTTTTACATTTCTTTCTCAGGATTATTTGATAAACAAAATGTTCAGTGAACAGCATTATTTGCAATGTAAGTCTTTTGTAACATTATAAATGTCTTTACATAAAAAAAAGTAGTGTCTCGTGGTTTCCACAACAATATTAAGCAGCATAACTGTTTTCAACATTGTAAATAAGAACCATTGTTTATTAGAGCATAAAAGACATGTATGAACAATCCTTTAAATAGCTTCTTTTTTTTTGCTCATGTAAAGTTTGGATGCTAAACGGAGCGAGTAAGCCATGAAACTGTAATTCAGACGCAAACATACATTCTGCCCTGTGCCATAGCTGCTTCCCTTACCACTGCGCCTCATTCAAAGTCCACATATTACAAACATCATCTGTAGAAAGTGAGGAACAAATAAACCAAATCACACCATTGTGAACGACAACACGGCGATGTGGATTTGCTTTCTTCTGTATCCAAAAGCAAATCATTGCCAAATGAGACTGCGACATTGCCTTTTAGATAAATAGACGCAATCTAAATCTTGAGATACATTATATACACTCAGAAAACAACAGACTTGAAGCTGCAAAACACTTGGTGTAAATAAGAGTTTTCTTGTGGAATCTTATGAGGCCTAAACAAATGTTCAGTAGAGATTCTTTCTGTTAAGAGTTACAGAATTAAAAAAAAAGAAAAAGAAAAAAAGATGTGGGTTGAAAAACAAAAGAATGACTCAAAAAGATTACCGTGACAAACGCAGTGCTGTATTTTGGGTGTCTCTCGCCATTAGTCGAACTTGATTTGATCTTCTAATACGTTTTCTATATGGAGTTCTGTTGCGAAACAAAATCTCTGTATGAATATTTAGATGGCATGCTGTAAAAGTTCAGACAAGACTGTAAATACGGTGTTTTTATTCATTTTTAATTGTTCGGTGAATCTGAATTGGGTATGTGTTGTCTCTGTTCAGTGTATTTTGGTAATAAAATACTATAATAAATGCACTCCTAAGAAACTTCTTTCAAAAACATGAAAAAAAAACTTTTCAATAGTAGTATATACTGAAACAATTTTTAAAACATAGTCATAATATATTTTCACTCAAAAAATATGATTCACGCTACTGCTGGTGTATTTAAGCAAAACAAAACAAAAAAGACAAAGGACAAACCAAACACTGATGCAATCTGAAATTTATACTATTTTTTTATTTCAGCTTTCAAGTCAAATGATTATGCTAACAATATTATATAGAGGTAACACTTTAGATTAGGGAACACTAACCATTTGCTTACTAGCATGCATATTACTAGCATATTGGCGGTTTATTAATAGCCTACTTATAAAGCACATATTAATGCGTTATTCTGCATGACCATATTTTAGATGCCTTATCGCTACCCCTACCTACACATAACCACTACAACAACTACCTTACTATAGTATGAGCAGCAAATTATGAGTTTTCTGAGGGAAAACTGCAATGTGCAAGATTGAAGTGTTTTCTCTGCACCTGGTTTTCAGTAGACAAAAAGAGCTTCATGTAAAGGTATTGTTCTCCTCTTGGACTAACACTAGTCTGTTGGTATTTTGGCAGTAGCAAATATTTAACCCGTTACGCTATTACCAAAAACATTACTTTTTAATGCAGCACTAAATCTCAGCAACAGTGTACTTAAGTTTTACATCCAACCACAAGGGGGCAGCAACGTACTAAAATTGAGCCGTCTTGTCTATATTCACAGCCCTACAGTATCAAGGGGCCCTAAAATTTTTATAGCTTCATTTCAGCTCTTATTAAAACATTTACACCCACATATTTCATGTGTACATAAACGTTACCACGTCTTTACAGAAGCCCCAGTGAGTCTGAGGAAGGTCTGGCTGATACTAGTGCAGAGAAAGCATTAGTGATCAGGGACAAAAGAACAACAGGAGATGAGAGATGACATGTGCGCAGTTATTATTGGAAAGCTGTGAAAAGAGCTATGACAACATGAACACACATGATTCATACACAGGCCTTTGTAAAAATTCAGAAAAAAATATATAGAAGAAAAGAACTGCACAATGATTTTATACCGAAAACGCACCAAGTAACAAGTTGTTCACATTTGTGTTGTTGTGACACATTAACCTAATTAAGTAATGACACTAATAATGATTATGTCTAATGATTAACCACTTGGTTCTTGAACGCACCCTTAATGTAATTACAATCGAACAAACTAAAGCTCACTAGTCATCGGCACTGCATTATTCATAGGTGGATTAAATGTTTATTGCAGCCCTTTGTACATTCAAGATTCTCATCCATCTGAAAATAAATATTTTATCAGTGACTGATTATCCTGTCATAAACAGAGCTGACATGTCTTGACACGTCCAGTGCTGACCTAGTACAGATGCAAGCAGTCCATCATCTCACATCTGTACAGCGAGACTGAGAAAGCTATATCACCCTTCCTGAAGATGATGCATGTTGGACTGGGAGCTATGTATTTTTGAGTGTTTTCCAGGTAAATTCAGGATTAGCTAGTCCGTTGGCAGGTGAACAAACCGGCCCAACATGAACCAGGCCGTTCCACCCCTGACATCAAGAGAAAAACAAGGAAGAGAGGGAAGTACAGTGTGAGATTTTCTATCTGGAGGGCATGGACCCTGTGACAGTTACCGGTTGTGTTTTACAACAGGGGCCCTTAGGGGTTGATGGAAGTGTGCGTCTATCTCATTTAACTCCGTTTGATTAGCCTGCTTTATCAGTACACTCCCATAACTCCCAGTCTTGGTAACAATGTAGTTGTTGTGCGTATCCTTTTTCTATTGTTCGAGGGAAATCTTGGCACTGCGCTGTAATGAAGTGTGGTTATATTCCCCAACCGTCGTCACATCCACCTGCCCCGTCCACACCCACACCAACTGTAACAACAGAGCGGTTACACAGCGCTTTATCAGAGGCAAAACATTAACATGTACGCTTGCTTGTGTCTATAAGAAAACAAGGTAAAAGTCATTTGAAATATTTTTTAAATGATTAAGTATTTAAAAATGACTAAGCAAAAACACAGTAGACTATATATATATATATATACATACACACACACACACACACACACATACATACACATATATAATACATAATTACAATTGAAACATTTAGTTATAATGTACAAAATACAAAATATAATGTATAATGCATACATTTTATACAATTAAAACTTACACATTCATACAAAATTTTATTATATATAATTATTTTTGTATAAATGTGTAAATGTTTCAATTCTAATTAAAATTAAATTTTTATGTTTTTACGTTTCATTTTTTAATCATTTAAAATGAATATTTAAACCTTTAGATAATTTTTACAAATTTTTATTCTAATATTTTTCAAAGTATATATAAAGTAAAATACTTCTATAAGTTATAATATATAATAAAATATTTTTATGAAAGCAGTGTTTAATTTGATGTACGCATAATTTTTTAGCATTTAAAATTACAAACATTTTTAATTGCATTGCTGATAAGCCTTGTTTCACACACACACACACACACACACACACACACACACACACACAAACACAAGTGCCTTTTAATGCATATTGACCCACATATTGACAAAACTAAACATAGCCGGTGCAGGAAAAACTGTTCAGGTAAACAAAGACAGAACAAACTGTGATATCTTCAATCTCAAGGCTGTGAAAAACTGTTTTTCCCTCAACTATTTCTGCAATACACTGTGTATCCGCACAGCTGAGAGCTTTTTGGCGGGATTTTTGCCGGATTGAGTGTGCGCGCGCGGTCTTTCATAAACGGGTCATTCCAGTTATGCAGTGCCGTTTGAGCTGTGTAACTTATTACAAATGTGGATGTGTTGTAATTTAAGGAAGTGCTTCTATAAAATGGTACTTTCAGAAATATGATCTACTCAAGCTCAGAGTTTTTAATTGTATCCTATTTACACAACAGCATGAAACGGAGTTGATTGGTGGAGATTCTCTGCAGAATAACTGCCGTTAAACATGATTGGTTAAAAAAAAAAAAGGTTAATAATGCTGGCTGATGGGTTTCAACTTTTGAATATGTCACCGGCTACTACCTTGTAGTCAGTCTGTGTTTAAAGGTTTATAAATCATTGTTAAAACCAATTCACCTACTGAAAAAAATGAATTTTTACTTCCATTCAAATTTACATAAATTTAAATATATTAAAGCGTTTTAAATATTTAAATGAGAACATCGTACATATAAAATACTTAAATATAATATATTTATAATAACTCCATTAGTTATGCACTTAACACTTAACTTTTACACATTGAAATATATAATTTGTATAAATGTTTCAATTGTAATTAATATTATTTTTATATGTATGCTTTTACATATTTTTTTTAATATTTCAAATGAATATTTAAACCTTTAATGACATAATATATCACTGGTTACAACCTTGTAGCTCACAGTCAGCTTATGTTTAAAGTTTTATCAATTATCATTCAAATTAATTCACCTATTGAAAAAAGATTGGAATTTTAACAGGATTTTATAAAAGGCAAACAGAAAGTGATATTGAGAACACAGGAATTGCATTTAAAAGAAATAAATACACCCTGGTGTTATCTGTTAAAAGGATTGTTCACCCAAAATGAAATTTCTGTCATTATTTAACGTCCATCCACACCAAGGATGATAAATATGATGCATAAGGTCTATATCTTTAGTGTTGGAGAAACAAGTGTGCAGCCATCTTTAGAATCACTGTTGAAGAGTAATAAACTGGTGAAGTAGATTTACATATTGTAGAGTTAACGGAAAATGATCTTAAACACTGTAATGTTCGAAGCGAATGTCATAACTGTCAGAGTAGACCGGGAAGATTTTAAAACGAGTGGTTCATAAATTCACACAACCTTACCATCACGCTGTGGAAATAAAAACGAAGACAGAAGACAATGAGCGCAATGCTGAAAAGGGGCAGAGCTATATCATGTCTAGTTTTAAAAATTATTCTAAATTTAAAGGAATAGTAAAGTCCACACCACTATAATGATAAAGAAAATTATTTCATTGTAATCACTTTCTATATGAAACTATGATCCACACTTGCAAAAAGAGTCTTTTTTACTCGCTTGTAATCACTTTTTTTAGGCTTATGAACAATAAAAACATTGATAGCCTATCAGAATTCATCCTGCTTCAAAGAACTTGAGCATCTGAAGCATCATACATATAATATTCAGCGTGAGCATATTATAAACAGTACATTGTGATGTGATGGTTCGGAAGTTATATTCATAGCTATCATTCTTGATGTGAACCAGGCTTTATTCTAATGTTATTACAAACCTTTTCAGCAGAACACAAATGACGCTTTGAAGAATGAAAGTGTGAAGAATAAAAGTGGATGGTGACTAAAAACAAAAACCCTACAAACGTATTATAAAAGTCATCCATATAAAATCATGACATTCTTGATTTGATTCTTGATCACGAGTCTCCTGGTGACATGATATTCAGAACAGACAAATTGTAACTGTTGTTGACAGAAAATCCTCTTTGACAGTCATTCTCACCATTTACTTATGCTATATGGAAAATAAAACCTGGGAAATTTCTCTTTTTGTGTTTCACAGAAAAAGAAAAGAAAAGTATAACTGGTGTGGACCAGCTTTTTTATTAACCGCATAACACCTGTGAGACATGGAAACAAGCATTCAAACCAAAGTGCTACAATTAAACCATTGAGATGAAAGAAAACTCATTTGCATTTCATTTAGTAGGCTATAAAAAAAAATACATATACGATTGGGAACTGCAAACAAACTGCGTAGTAGGAATGACTTAACAGTGTTGTGGTATGAAGTGAATGTGACTGGGCATAGAGGAGCGCTGCCATTCCTTCAGCTCTTTCCCACACTTTCTTGCCGCAGGGCCAATCACAACCAGACAAACCGCCACACCTGCCTTACCTCATCTAGTCCACATTCAACACACACACACACACACACACACACCAGCTCTGTCCTATTAAAGGTTTATACACTCAAAGTTCCAAAAGGGGTTTTTGCAGTGATGCCAAAGAAGAACCATTTTTGTCTCCTGAAAAAGCCACTCAGTCAACAGTTCTTAAAATAACCATTTTTTTCTTAGTATGAAGATTTCAATAATCTATAAAGAACCTTCTGCAGAATGGAAAGTTCCACTGATGTTAAAGGTTCTTCATGGAACTGTAAATTCCAATAAAGAACCTTTATTTTTATAGATGATGCAATTGACCAAATGTGACCCTGGCCCACAAAAACAGTCATAAAGGTCACTTTTTTTAAAATTGAAATTTATACATCATCTGAATAAATAAGCTCTCCATTTATGTATGGTTTGTTAGGATAGGAGAATATTTGGCCGAGATACAACTATTTGAAAATCTGGAATCTGAGGGTGCAAAAAAAATCTCCTTTAAAGTTGTCCAAGTTTTTAACAATGCATATTACTAATTAAAAATTAAGTTTTGATATATTTACAGTAGGAAATAGGGCTGCACGATATATCGAAATTATCGAAATATCGCAATATGCATATCGCAAGGGCGTGCGATATCTGAATCATTTTAATAATAGGCTACTTAAATCAAAACGTTGCAACAGGTCAAAGTTTTAGTTCGACGCATATAGCAGAGAATTGCTTGACATTAAAAAGAGTTAAGTGAAAATAAGTTGCAGAAAACAACTCTTTGCCGTCTCGTCTTGCTGCCTGACTCGCACCTGAAGCGCGAGCACAAGCCGCATCTCGCACAGTGTCTCTAACGCAGTCGGTTATGTTTTAAATGAATGTAAACAGCTGAGAAAGAAATCGGATGTGTATCATTATACTGGATCCGTGCAGTCGGATTTAAAGGGACAACAGCCTATAAATATGCACAGTGTCTCTAACGCAGTCGGTTGTTTTAAATGAATGTAAACAGCTGAGAAAGAAATCGGATGTGTATCATTATACTGGATCCGTGCAGTCGGATTTAAAGGGACAACAGCCTATAAATACGTGCTGCTGAATATGTCACTAATGTTAATCAAACAACAAAACACCTATAACAAAGATTAATCTAGATTTAATTCATACAGTGAACACTATGCAGTGTTATTTTACACTTAATTATTACATTTCTGTACCTGAATGCTACTGTTTATATTATCTATGCTTGTAAATTGTGCATTTCTTTCTTTTCCTTTCTTTTTTTTACTGTTCACTTGCCTTTAATAATGTTTGAACTTTCTCAGACTAGTTTTTGCTGTGGTATATGAAGACGTACTTAAAGTGTATGGAAAGCAAAGTTACAATGATATAAAATTAGTGTCATTAATTTTTTTGTTTGTATGTTCACATTGATGTTTAAATTAAATTTTCTGATTTGTGACATTACTTTTTAAGTAATGCTAAAACACTGCTCATCACTTTCAGAAGTTATAGTGATTCTTTATTTTCCAAGAAAGAATGTGAGACAAATTGGTTATATAATTTTCATTTTTAAATATAATTTAAATTGATTTGACACACTTTAAGCAATATCGTATCGCATATAGAATATCGAATTTAACAACAAGGTATCGCATATTTCTTCAATATCGTACAGCCCTTGTAGGAAATTTACAAAATATCTCCATGGAATAAGATCTTTACTTAATATCCTAATGATTTTTGGCATAAAAGAAGAATTGATCATTTTGACCCATACAATGTATTTTTGGCTATTGCTACAAATATACCCGCATTACTTATGACTGGTTTTGTGCTCCAGGGTCACAAATGTCTTATACTGATAATAAAATGCATGGTTAATTTAAAAGCCTGAATAGGAGGACACTGTGTAACCTGAAATCAGAGGAATAAAAATAGTGATGCTCACCTCAGCACTA